TAGGAAGAGCACTGTGGTAGCAAAACCCTTTAGGATTGAAGAATTTAGTCTTAAAAGGGAAAGAAAAAGGAAAACAGGTTTAAAGAAGTCAGTGTCAGTTGCTTGGAACACAAAACTAGATGGGACAATTTAGCTTTCAAGTCCTGGAATTGAACAAGATAGGTAATCTGTGGTTCTCACATCTGTGTCCCTGAGAATTCAGCTGGCATGAAAATCCAAGTATATCTGGCCTCTTCAAAATGTCAGAGCTGGTCCTTGCTCAAGGGCTGGGCCAGTGAGGAGCTGGGATCTGTGAAAGCATCTCAGTTGGACTGCTGGTTCCACCTAGCACAGATCCCACAGCTGAATACAGCTGGTGGTACCAAAGAGCTGTACTGAAAAAGCAAAGTGAAATTCTTACCTTGAACAAACACATAAATCCTGGCCCTGAGATCCTCATCATCTGGAGCGTCGTCACGGATGCAGGTGAAGTTCCCAGTGTCGTTAGCAGTGACTCTCCTGATGACAAGCAAACTGCAGCTCTGCCCCGTGGTGTTGCGACAGCTGCTCCTGTGCACCCGCGGGTTGGCCTTGTGGTCCTCCCGCAGAAGCCAACTTACAGATGGTGCTCCCCTGCCAACACAACACACCAAGACTGAGGATGACTTCAGGCAAAATCTGGGCTTCCTTCTGGCCAACTGTTGTCCATGTTCCCACTCCTGTCACTTCCAAATGAATGATAAAGGTTGCTGGGTGTTTGTGCTTCCACCCACAAGAAATTAATGTGGATCACCCCACACTCTTCCCCAGGGCAGGGGAGATCCCTGAAATAGTCTGTGGGAACTGCAGCAAGCTAGCTCTGGGAGAAAAGTTTAATTTTTCTTTTAACAGACTGCCTGAACGCAAGTTTGTTTTTATAACACTACATTTTAGCCACTTCAAACATTAGAAAACATCAGATAAAATTATATGTTTCCTCCAAGCTGAGAAGTCTGCATATTTTAACAGCTAAATTAACGTATATTTTCTTACACTAAGGCTGCATGGAGAGAGGAGAACATTTATGTAACTTTGCATCACCTTTCTTGCTTAATCAGCAGTGACTCAGTTTTGATTTTTGTGAAGGGCCTGAAACTAATCAGATTACAAATCTTGGAAAATCTGCTCAGGACACATTTATTCCAATTCACTTTGTCACAGCAGCCAGAACATCAAGCCAGCAGGGCAAAGGAAGCACCATTCCACCCACCTGACCCCTCTTCTGTCTGATCTATGAGCACAGCTAATGGCAAATGCAATTCTACTGAGTTTGCTGACAAAAAGCAAGGTCTGTGTGTCACCTGCTGCAGGACTCAGAGCTTTCAGCTGAGCTAAGTTTGCTCTGTCACAGGTACTGGTTGTGCTAGTCCTGTTGTGCTGGAAGTATCAGGCCACACCATGGCAGCAGGAGCTCTTGGAGCTCTCTTGGGCTGCACTTAGAGGGCTCTGGTGATGTATGTACACAAGCCTATGAGATGAAGGTTATGGTCTGTTTTGTAGCAGATTGACTTTTGGTGCTCAGTGTGGAAACTGATGGATTAGTGGGGTAATCACCATGGATTTTTCTGGGGAAGAAGTTAGGATTGGAGGGAGGGAGTTCTGTCTGTGTTTGCAGAGAGAAGCCACTCTTCCTACTCTTTCCACGCTTCTTCACCCCTAAGAGGGGGTTGACTCACCCCTTCTCACTCAGTGAATTCCCACTGGCATTTGCTGAGCTGAGGAAGGAGTAAGAACCTCTGGATATTCCCAGTTGAGTGTTGCCAGGGAGAAATCCGGTCTAGACAGAATGGCTCAGGATCAAGGAGCTAATACCAAAACTATCTAACAAGAAGGCTGTGTGAAATTTCCAGTTAGCCAACAACTCTAACTCCTCTTTCTGCTCCAGTGTCTTTGTAGTAGTGCAGTAGGTGCAATCAGGGAACACATTTGCCAGCACATTCAGTGACACTTAAACAAACTTCCTCTTGGCCCTCGTTTCTGCTCGTCTTTTTGTCGCCTTCCTGGAGGTGACGCGGACATGGGGCTGAACTCTTGAGGTTATTCCCAGCACACAGCAGAAGGAGAGCACTGGGAAAAGTGTGAATATCCTCTCTGATGAACGGCCTCACCCTGGGTTTTGGATGTACTGGTGACTTGGACAACCCCACCTCATCCGTCATAGCAGCTTCCTGTCCGTCCAGAACTGGATCATGTTTTGAAGCACAGGTCCCTACCCACGCTCTGTCCTCACCTTACCAATGTCATTAATGACGTAACCACTCCTCTGTCCAGAACTGGGACTCCTGGCCTGGAATATGGAATAATGCCACTTCGCATTGAGACTCACAATTCCCAGCATGTCCTTGCCTGTCTACTGTCCTCCAGTCTGCTGTCCATCAGGGCTGGAAATGTGCAATAGTGGCTCTGCAGAGCAGGGCTGGGAATTCACACACCTCTGCTTCCTTACTTCTGCCTACTTTTTCCTCCTGCATGTTTTATCCTGGTGGGACATGAAGACTTTGGCTATTGCTTTGGGATTTTCACGCATCTGGCAGAGGCGAGTTGCAGCAGCAGCTTTGGCAAGGCTACCAAAAATCTTGACCAAGAACCTCAAAGGGAAGTTCTTGGGATGTGAAAACCTTAAAACCTTAAGGGAGAAGGGATGTTCACATAGACCTGCAGGGTCTGCTCTGTGCTGTGCCTTGCACAGCCCTCATGCCCTTAGAAATATGAAGGACTTCAGAGCTCCCTCTGGACAGTCCAGCATCTGTGAGTGTGCAGATGCTGGTGTGGCAGGATGGAAGACATCCACAGAGGGCTTGATACAAGAAATCTTGCACTCAAAGCGCAGAATCCACACTTTAGCTTCTATTCCCATCTCTTGCATGACCTGAGTCAAGGAGCTGAAGTGCTCTGGGCCCTGGTCCCACACTAGCATGGCACCATGCTCACATGCTTTTCTGTTTTTCAGACCTGTCATGTGGATTTATTATTTTGCATCCATAAAGCAACTTGGGACTGAAGTAGGATGTTCCTCCAGATTTAAAAGGCAGTGGATGGAGAACTACTGAAAAGTGTTGATTTCATTAGTCTGGAGCACCACACTGACCTCATGTCCACAGAGCATGTTTTATGAAGTACAGCATCTAGGTTTTAAAGGGCTGTTTAAACTTTATTGCCATCATGTTTGCTGCTTGCCCAGCTAAAAATACAACTGTAAGGTTGTTTTGACCTCATAAGCCACTTGGCTAGCTGGAGGTTTTTGGAAAAAAGCTGCCTTATGCTCCAGAAGACATCCAAAATGTACACAGAGTGAGCCAATTTACATTTCATTATAACAATGAATTAAATAGTCTGGGACAAAAATCAGAGGGGACATTGTGTCAGCATAAACTATAGTTTAGATTCACCTTTCCTCTGCTTTTTCTTACTGTTTCCAGTAACTTCTGTTGCAAGAAATCATCCATGTGATGACTACAGTCAAGGAGACCTTGCAAGGGGGTGTAAAAATTGTGTATGTGTGTGAGAGAAACTGTGATAATTTGTATTACCTTAAGCATTCTCTCCTACAACACGCTCAGAAGAAATTAAAAAACAACCTCTGGCAGTAGTTTGGTATAAAAATCACACTCAGAACAAGTGACACCTACATCCTTCTCAGTCTGAGGCCTTTTGTGTGACCGAGCTGCTACTGTATGTTTGCCAGTCAGCTGTGACCAAATGCTATTTCCCCATTTCCAGAGGTCCTGTAAACACGTCATTACCAAAATTTTGCTGGTTTCCTGTATGACCAGTTGTGCACATTGTGCCAAGGACTGAAGAGCTGATTTAATTTACAGTATCAGCAGTTTGGTTTTTCACAAGTCTTGGTTATCTTTGATTTAAAGAACATGATATGTTTAAACAGGTTGGGTCTTTGGATGTACACACACTTACTGCTGCTTGTTTAACTGGCATATTATCATAGTATGTTAAGGGGTTGGAATGGACCTTAGAGACCATCTAGTGCCAACCCCCTGCCCTGGGCAGGGACCCCCCCCCCCAGATCAGGTTGACCAAGGTTTTATCCAACCTGGCTTTGAACACTGCCAGGGTTGGGGCAGCCACAACCTCCCTGGGCAACCTGTGCCAGTGTCTCACCACCTTCACAGGAAGAAACTTCTTCCTAATACCTCATCTAAATTTCCCTCCTTCCATTTATGCCTATGACTCTTTGTCCTATTACTGCAGTTCCTAACAAAGAGTCCCTCTCCAGCTTCCCTGGAGCCCCTTCAGATCCTGGCAGGTTGCTCTGAAGTCCCCACACAACCTTGTCTTCTCCAGGCTGAACAGCACCAACCTTCTCAGCCTGTCTTGGTAAGGAAGGTGCTCCAGTCCTCTTACCGTCTTCCTGGCCTCCTCTGGACTTGCTCCAACAATTCCATGTCCTTCTTATCTGTTGGGGACACTAGAACTGTGTGCAGCACTCCAGGTATGGTCTCACAAGAGCAGAGGGGGAGAATCACCTCCCTCAACCTGCTGCCCAGACTCCTTTGGATGCAGCCCAGGATTTGGTTGGCTTTCTGTGGGCTTTTTTATGGACTAGATGGTATTTGAGAGTAGGAAGTTTAAGCTCATATATATACGTGTATGTAAAGAGCTAATAACACACCCTGTTTGTGATTTCCTTATGGACAGGGAGCGAAAGAGTGATTTTAGCTGCAGAGGAGCTGAATCTGCACCTTTTTTCAGATGAGGATTTTCCAGTCATGTCCTTAAGCACAGCACATCCCTCTCCCATAAGCTCTCCCGTGTGCTGCCTCAGGGTTTTGCTTGGGCCCCTTTACAACACAAAGAATCTGGCCAAGCTGAATGCTGACCCAAGACTTTCCCCCTTGCTCTATTACAGCCCATGGAATTCTCCTCCATGCAGAAGTGCACATGAGGGTGCACAGCCCCAGTTCCAGCTGACTGAGCAGCAGGCTCTGCCCTACCCAGAAGCTGTGTTGGCCCAAGGTAATCACCACAATGACAGAAATCCAGCATTGCTGGAGCAATCCTTACCTGCATTTTATTTTCAGTGTGTCTCCTGGTGAGATGACTATGTGGTCTTTTGCAATGCTTAGCCTTGGTTTCTCAAAAAGTTCTTCCTCGGCAAGACCTGACCCAAATAAAGCAGAAACCATCATTAGACAGGCTATTCACTGCCATCAGAACAGGCACAATGCACTGGAGGCAAGCTTTTGTTTTGTAAATAGTTCCTAATTTGGGGGCTCATACAGTGCTTGCATTGACACTGGTGCAATTGAATGAGTGTGGAGATAGTCGATGCCCTTAGTTTGTTTTCACTTTCCTTTATTCATCTCTCTCTTTTCTGACACCTGCATTTCTGCCAACAGTCTTTCCTTGTATTTAGAGCCAGCTCTATTACTGAATTATTGCAGATTTAGGAGAAGAGATTTATGTCAGAAGGATTTCACATGCATATAAAAGTGAAAGGAGTCAGGTCTTTGGGAAATAATTCAATATATGAACTTATACATTACATTGTCATCAATGGGAGAAGAGAAAATATTAATTCTGGAGACCAGATCTTTGATTCACCACTGTGAAGCATCTGGAATGTTAAAAACAAATCGAAAGCCTGGTGTTTCCCAAATCACCATTCCCAAATCCTGCATCTGAACTGAACCACGAGCTTTGTGGGCATTGTGGTGTAATGCTCTAGGGAAACCTGCAGTGGTGCCTGAGACGCCGCTGGTGTGACCAGGATTGGCACATCTTTGATGACTATGCTTGTTCATGGCAGTAGTGATAAAGGTCTCTCTCATCATCTCCTGGCCCCGGAAAGTCTCCTGACTGACTCCTCAGAGAGACACGTATCTGGGTGTACATCTTTGACGATATAATTTTCCGAAAATGAAACTGAGAAGAACCAGAAGTGGGGCTGGCCAGGCTGGCTTCCTTGGCCAAATCCAGAGGAACATAATCAAGGAGAGGACAAAACAGGCTTCGATAAGTATCTCAATTTCCAAAGCTCTGACATTACAGCCGTATGTTTTCTTTCCCCTCCTGCTCTTCAAATCTCTCTCTTCTCCTTTGCCTTGAACTTGATAAGCAAAACCCCTCGCTGGGTTTCCAGCACAGGCATTATTCGCAGCACGGAAGGGAAGATAACATATCTAGCAAAAAGAGAAACACTAGGCTTTAACTTTTCAACTGCACGAAACAGTGATTTTCCTGCCTCCCACCTCCCAACACTCATCTCTTTTTCGCTTGATTTCAGTAAATTGCTCTTAGCCTGGCATCAGTGTGGAGAGTGAATCACTCCCACTTTGGAGTATCTGGCTTCTTCCATGAGCCGTTCGAGCTCCCATCAGTAACTCAGCGGAGGCCCAGCTAATCTCATGGCACCACAGAGTCCTTCCCAAAGGGGATCCTGCCCAGACAACATGTTGCTGGACTCCCTTCAGAGGCACTGACCCTTCCCACAGACCTCTGGCTGAGACTTTGAACTAATCCTGGCCACCGGAGGGAGATACCCATCCTACTCCACCTCTGCTTTGCATAACTAATGACACTGTAGCTCTATCTGCAAAGTCTTTTGCAGAATAAGAAGTGGGAATTTGGCCAACACAAACTCCCTCCAGTGGATCTGTGTGACATTATTTAGCATGGCCCTACCTACAAATTGCTATTCCATGTAATGCTGGGGAAGCAAAACAGCCAGTGGGTTCCAGCCCTGTGGTTCCCATTTCTTTTAAAAAGTTTCATTATTCCTAAACACATTCAGGATGGCATGTGCAGGGAGCAGCATCACATTTAGGTGAGAATCAACAGCAAAAGCCCCAAACTCTGCAGGAGAAGACACCATCAGGCAAGTTCAACCTTGCACTTGGCTCTGAGTCCCCTCTGGTTTCTAGACACAACCAGATCCCCTTGAGCATGGGCTGAGCTTTGGCACATGCTGTTTTGTGGTGCTGAGGTATTTCACAGTCCCTTAAGACCATGTGCTGAGCTTTGCAGAAATGACCCAAAACACAGTCAACAGATTCATTTAAATATGTTTGTTAGGTGTCATTTAATTTGTTAGCTGAGGGTCTGAGCTCTCCCAGGACACTGCTCCTACCAGGATTTGCTCTGGGCTGTTGATGCTGTGGCTTCAGCCAGGTGCTGCTTTGACTTAGAAAATCCTGGGGTTCAAAATAAGCCTCTATTTGTTTCCTGTTGTGCCTTCAGTTGTTAGAGCTTAGGGGGCTCAGCCGATGTCTCGAGCTAGCCTTGTGAACAGGCCTGACTGGATCTCTCCTGAGCACTGTGACAGTGTTGGAGGGGTCTGGAGTCAGAGCCAGGCAGCAGCTTGAGACCTGAGCTGCTGTGCTTGGCTTTTAGAATATTTGACACTGTTTTTGCTAAAACAAAGAAAAGTATTTTTCAATTATTCTCTTTTTACTTCTGAGCTACTTCTTTCCCAAAGTTTATTTTGGCTTCGGGAGCTGAAGAAAAGAACAAGCAAAGTGTAATTTCAGTGCTTTTCTACCCCATGGAGGACAGAAGGAGAAATTCCTCTGCACACACACATCTGGTTGCTGCTGCCAGGTGACAGAGGGTTTATAAAAACACAGTCTGTGCCCTTTCTGCCACACCAGAGCCAGAGCTGAGTGGGCTTGGAAAAGTTTGAGGGCAAAACTGAGAGAGCAGTGCGGGGGGAAGGTTAGGCTGTGCTATGGCAAGACACCTAAATGCCAAACTGGCAGAGTAAGTTCACACAATATTCTTATCCTCCCCTGGGCGCATCAGAACTAGATTTCAGCTTTTAGAGGCAAAGCTGGGGAGAGCCCCGGGGTGTGCTGGATGAAAAGAAAGGGATCATGTTCATATTTGTTGTATATATTTAAGGACACTTGTGCCTTTAAGACGTCGTTAGGATGCTGCAAGCAGCTTCCTGCAGAGAGAAGCAGGCATGTACCTGGCAGTCCCCTCCTTTTCCACAATCCTGCTCCCTAACCTTTGTTTAGCTTTGGATTCTCATTCCCACCAGCCAGTGGTGCCAGGACTGCAGGTTGATTCTGTTCAACTTGTACAAAGTTTGAGTCTCCTGGGCTGTTGTGTGTAGGTCTCCTACTTTCTGGTAAGCTTTTGATTGCAGAGGCTGTGACACACAGGCAGGTGCAATCTGGTTTGGCGAAGGGTGAATTTAAGCCAGTGCTGACATCCCCCAGAAAAGCATCATTTAAATACACCATGGAACTTAGCTGCAGTGCTTTTCCTTCTTCTTACAGTGTATGTTCACTGGTTTAATGTGTTTCATTTTGGGTTTATGGCTTTAATCAATAAATGTCTCACACCTCAAATATGTTTTTCACAGCTACTCTGGACTTTATATAAAAGCTCCCAGACTTGAAGAACATCTCTCTGAGGCAGTGCTCTGAGGTACTCTGTAAAACCAGGACCTACAATCTGCCCATGCCACTGGGCCAGGTCC